AATCCCAATTTTTGGTCACCAAGCCCACACTTCCGCCCTAACTCCTAGATCGTAGCCAAATTGACTATTGTGTGTGTGTGTATTGGGTGCTATGCTGAAAGATATCAGTCGATGTGCCAGCACTACAAAAGCCCAGTTAATGCATAGAATGGAGGGAGCTCTGGCGATCCTTTCCAATGAGACAGTATAAGGCCAGCTTGGTTTAGGTTCCGGGGTAGATTGACTCTGCAATAGACACCATAGTGGCGATTATTTTGAGAAAAACTCTTGAACAGGATGGCGAATTCCTTGTCAACCGAAATTGGCTTCAATGCGTTACATTATGTCGCCATCGGTTTCGTTCCAGCTTTTCTGAAGATACCGTCAAATTTATCCCGTACTCTAGGTACGTTAGAATTAAAGTGATTCTGTAGATCGAAGCATTAATAATTCGACAAGTTTTCGTCCAACTAAATATCTGTTTGTCAGAAACGGAGTACACTGTGTATTGACAAAAGATGATAGACAACAGAGACCATTAGTAAACAGTGTGAATCTGAGCCTGTTTGTTGACATTCTTTATTTTCGAATCCACTTGGATGCCATAGACTGACTATCTTCTCTCTTTTAACTCACTAACTTGTATACAGACAAAGTTGCATGTTGTAATACTGAATGAAAGGAATAAGCATTTTGAATGCAACTTGACTAGAAGTCAATTACGAATTACTAATAAGGTGCACTAGGATGGGCGAGTAATCTACGTCAACACGAGGTTTTGGTGGCGGAACAGTCAACCAGACAACTCCACCCATGACCCAATCCACCAAGGAGGTCAAGTTGCGAACATGTAATTCAGCTGGTACGCATGGCTTAGGCGAAGCATGATATAATTTAGGGTAAGATTACACTATGGGAAGTGCGACTAAATGCAGATTTATTCCCATAATTATATATGGCTCATTTTATAATAAACTGGCACACAAACACTAGAGTTGACATCTAACAGACTCACATACCATTGCTGACCATAAATAAAAAAGCTAAACAAAAGATTTACTGAATTTAAATGCTGTTAAATAAACAGTGGCGTATAAAAAATAGATTAGTTTTCCCAAAGATTACCGGTTTCTTATCACTAGACCCTAAATTGTGGATTTCACAATGTTTTAGGTATCTAGAACCAAAATCACACATAATGTTGAAGATACTATTATCTAATGCTTTCTAGAATACAATTTGATTTTTTTCATTACTTCAAACAATGTGAACAAAGCCATAGTGCTTTGGTGTTACGTTGTCTTGATAATTATAACACAACTGCGACACAATTTTCACGCTAAAAGATTAGATCACATATATTCAGGAGGATAAAAAGACCATTTTGTATTACTCTGCTCGCATTCTTCATGCATCTAGTGATTTGATAAAAATGTGACGCTATGACTTTCATTCACTAGAACCATTTAGTTTAAAAAAAATAAATTAAATTAATGAAAATTTTCCAGTTTTAGAGCTACCGATAAATAGTTAATGTACGAATTTTCTGTTCTAAAGCTAGAGTTACGATCTTGTAAGTATGGGACAATATTCTTCTATTTACTGTGATGTCAAAACAAAGCAATTGTAATGTTTTGTACATCATTTCAGGTAGATTTGATGGAACAAATCACCACCGTTTGCTACGAGATAATTGTCAGTTACTTTGCTGGTGGCTGCAGCATTTAGCCAAACGCCTAGAAAAGTACATGGTGCCGGCGGTTTGCCTCATTGTGCTTTATGACCAAAAGATAAAAGAAAGATATTATTCATTCCGATACTGTAGCAGAAGCACACTAAACTAGAATTCGTATGTCTTGCTCCAATTAATGTCTTGCCATGAGGAAAGCGTGATGAGGCAATGTCTGGAGTACCATCACGTGACCAGGACAAGCCCACCTCTACGAGAGCAAATCTAGAGGGAAACAAACATAGGGGTGGGAAAAGACATACCTGAGCGATGCGTTGAGCCACAAGTTCCTCCACGACTTGGCGACTGGAGAGAGGATGTCGTGAATAGGCCACGCCTGGCTGGACTTTGGTACTGGAAAAATCGAAAGTAATGTGACATTAACAAAAATCTCCCTTTCGTCCAAGGCAGAGGGTCATAAGAGCAAGAAACTCATTCAAAAATCACTGTGGTAGATAGTAAAAAAATAACAAACAGGGTTTTGCAAATATGAGATTCGGTATTACACTATTGAACTGACCTGTTTGATATTTGCTAGGATTTAACAAACATGTATCCATGAATATTGGGAAGAAATAAGATGCCTCCCATTAAAGGCTAGGGTCAGGTTTGAAAAAGGTATAACAAGGATAGAAGAAAACGCGCTTTTGACGTAGAACAACTAAGATGAGGACCTTTTAGGTTTATAGCAAGCAGGATAAAATCTAAATGCAGTGACATAAATGCGATAGGCAAGACCCACAATTTCGGTAAGATAAAACTAAATGAACAAGAATAGTATTGAAAGTATTGAAATGCACATTTCCCAACGATTTTAACACTTCGGTGGACTAATTGTGTAGTTATGATTAGGCGGTTTAGATGGGAAAATTCAGTACCATTGTGGTGAATGAAAAACGAAAGAGAAAAAATAAAAAAAACACTGGTTTGCCAAATTAGGAAAAGTGTATAATGAATAAGCATATTCCCTATGTTAACTGAGAAGGTTAATTTAAAGCAAAAGACAGTTTGTAAGGTGATATTCCAAAAATCTGCCCAAGGCGATTAAAAGGGAAATTTCAGTTCAAGAAACTATTTGTGAAACCTAATAACCGCCCATGGGCGATAACAGAGAAGGAAAATACTTCACCAAAGAAGAACATGCTGCCTTGTGTCTAGCGCGCGCGTATTTCGCATTCGAAATGACTCATTCTGTATGGAGGGGGGGAGGTTCAAGCTTCAGTCCCAAATAGAGAAAAGCTGCAAGGCCCCAAATAACGCCCGGAAAGCCCCGGAAAGACGAATCTTAGGGATCTATTCGATGAAATAAGTTCAAGACAATTGATTATCGCATTGACTAAACTCCATACAAGAAAGTAAGAAAAAAGGACAAAACTCACTAAGGACTTGGGCATTATGAGTAAGGAATAACAAAGTGGTTAATTTCTGATAATTTTCCATTTGAAAACTGTCTACTATAAAATTAAGAATACAATCTAATAGGAAGAAAATATAATATTCTGGAAGTCATGAGCATAATTCGAAAAAAATAGCTTTAATCGAGTCAATAGAACCTCATCATGGAAATTTATTTGCAAAACTTGAAACAGATAGGGAGAAAATGTGGAAGTTCACCATCTCTCCTGTTAACCAGAATTAAGCAGTGCCACTAGATTTCGATTTTCTTTACCATTATTAATTTGGCCAGTTTTGAAAAAAGACATATTTACGTTTTTCGAGTTTGATTGAACTATTTTCATCGTTTCAAATGAAGTACGACTTTTCGAAACCCGGACGTAACTCACATAACCCTTATCTATCTCCTCCCCTTTATGCCAACCGATTGAAGGCGCTTCCTACAGTTTGAATATTACAATTCTTTGAATGACTGTGAATAATAATAATAGCCATCAGCAAAAGCAGCATAGAAATTGAAGTCGATAATGTACTAAAAATAGAAACACTACGATTCAAACCAAGCATTTAGGCATTTGGGCGATTTTCTAGCATTTTCGTCATCTAGAAAGTCAAAAGTCCTTTCCAAACGCACTGATAATCAAACAATAACGCACTCAGAGGTTATCGTTCTTCCAACTACTAGCACAAGAGCGTTTAAACAGTTTAGTGCTAGTCTATACAATGCAAAAAAAATTAGATTATCATTATGTGTTTGGTAATGGTAAATCAAGTGGAGAAATTGGCGATGAGGGAAGCAAATTGAAAGCTTCATGATTTGTTTTTAATTTCGTATTCCATATTTCGGTAGCTGGGTGTGCGATAGACTTACCTCCACGTGGTGCACCCTGGTCAACGTATACTCATACGGCAAAAAAAAGTCTATTAACTGGCAGTTGACTTCTGACTTCAAAATACCATCACCCCATTGCTTTTCATATTCGACCCCTTCCACAGTACTCACCTTACCTTTTTCTCTACCTTTGTGTCTGTCTGTCTCTTTTACATCTGTGAACCGCTCTTCTGTTCCCCACCCCTCGACTTTCTGCTACTTTGATGAACCTTCCCTCTGTGAAGCCCAAAGTCAGCTAAATGGCTAATGATATCTATCAAAACACCTGCCATTTGAAATAAATAAATAAATATTCCGGTAGCTGAACTTGGTGCAGAAATCTGAAAGTCAATTGATCTGCAAGTGAAAATGACTTCTTGATAAACCGGTATATATATAGGTGAATGTAGCAAAAAAAACACTCACAAATAAAACTCAATAATATGAGCTATTATGATTATGTCAAAATGGAGTATTTGAGAGTGTAGGCATTGAATGATTCTTTGACCAAAAGTTTCCAATGAGTGGTAACAGCAAATAAACTGTTAGGTAAACATTAAAAACTAAAGTAAAAGTGACTCACTCGTTAGCTTTAGTAAATATCGGCCCAATAAATCTTCACAATAAGTGAATATTAGATTTATTAAATTAGATTCAAATCACTGAGGAAATTGGGTTAATCTTACTAGACAATACAGAATCAGAGATAGGCTAACAAGTATTAAGGACAAGTAAATGAGCAGTTAACTTAAAATTAGATTAAGATCACTAGTCACACTGTTAATAAATGCATGCCGAATATATATATAGATAGAGTGGAAAAATAATTTAACCGGAACTAAGGTACTATCACTATGATTTTCAATGGGGGGTGTGCGATAGACTTACCTCCTATTACCTGACAGTTGACTTCTCACTTCAAGCTACTATCACCTCACTCTATGCCATATTCGACTATTTACACAGTACTCACCTCACCTTTTTTCTACCTTTGTGTTTGTCTCTTCCATCTTTGAAACACTCTTCTGTTCCCTCCTCCTCTTTGATGTTCCTTCCCCTCTCTGTGAAGCCAGAAGTCAACCAAAAGGCTAATGATAACCATCAAGACGCCTGTCATTTGATATAA